TAATTTAATCCCTCAAGAAAAAATTGGGAGAATGAATCATTTTAATTTGAATTGTTTTTTGAACCAGAAAGACGTTTAATCTATTAAGTTTGAGGTAGACTGGACAATATATACATGGACGTTATAAGAACTTCCTAAATGTAAAACATGACATTTCCTGTTGCAGCTAGGGGCACTAGGACTATTGTTGAATACCATCATATGGATCTGGTCAGGGTGGAACTGTTGTCGGACATGTAAAGTTTGAGGCAGATTGGACACTATGATGGATGTTATAAGCATTTCCTGTTTTCTGCGAATCATCAGGATTCACCACCATGACACAGCAGCGCCCCCTTATGGAAACCCACTAAAAACTTTTAATTGAAAAGTCCCTTCTAAAATATAAACTAAATTCGAAGTTGAACGAATTAAATCTGTAGGAGTAGGATTTTGCAGCACATGTGGAAATGCCAAAAATGACGCCAAATTTGCATGTTCATCCAAAATGACTGACTTCCTGTTGGTTGGGCGAAGAGTGGCAAGAGGTGTTTTTGTGTTCCTTGGCGAAGTAAATGAATAGGTAAACCCTTAATCAAAGTTCCAAATTTGTAGTCAGTAATTTCATGAGACTTAATAAATAAATTGGCTATCTTTTCCCTTCCTTCGATGGGTGGTGCCCCGAGGTAGCTTTAATCAATTAAAGTTATTCTTTAATATTTTTAGATTTTTAATATTTATATTCAATATCCTAAGTCTGCATCCACTGCTAGTTCGCTTTGTGGCAGCAACCCATGAGCAAGTCAGCAAAAGTGTGTTATTTGAAGTTGTAATTGAAGTCCTCACCTCTAGTGTCAGAACTAAGACTTTGGCATCTCTAGCTCGAGAGCTGAGGTAATGAACATTGAACGACGCATCCGTTGGAGTCTGGCGCAGACTGCCGGAGTCTGAGACAGCTGTTTTTATAGTGTGTTGCGCAAAAACTGGAACATCCTCCACTGAGAGGCACTTCCATTAGGGAAACTCCAGTCAGATAACTGGTTAGATCTGGTTCTCAGTCAAAGAACATTTGACCTTTGTACATACTTCTTTTTGAACTCTAGATGCCCTCACTCACAATGGGCCCCCTCCCTTTCCTATGCTTCTGTGGCAGAGACATTTTTTTTTTTTATGGGCCTTAAGTATAACTGTGGGACTTTATCAGTAAATACTTTTACTCTTGGACACCCTTCTTTCAGCATAA